GGAGACCCGTCTTAGACAGTCTCTTTGTGCTTGCTGGGGTTCTGACTGGTTCTGGTTGCGGAGATTCCCAAGCCATCTTTGTAGTTTCCCCAACAGTCACTGGGTCACTGGCACCAGCTGGTGTTTGGAACAGTTCTGGGGAGCCAGCCAGGTCTTCCAGGGGTGGAGCCCTGATCTTAGGTGTCCGTGACCTCCTCTTGCTCCCCACTGAACTTCCTGTGAAATCCAGTTTCTGCTTTGGAGTTTCCATAAAGACAGTGGTGTCATTCTCTTCCTGCATGGGTGCTGGTGTGCGTGTGACTCTGCCCCGTGACTGCCTGGTTTGTTTCTCAGGTACATGACATTCTTTCACATCTGCTTTCCTGAAACCCATCTTGGATAATGTCTTTGTGCTTGCTGGGGTCCTGATATGTCCTGGTTGTGGAGACTCCAAAGAAATTTTTGTAGTTTCCCCAACAGTCACTGGGTCTTTGCTGCTGGCTGGTGTTTGAAAGAGCTCCTGGACACCAAACAAGTCTTCTGAGGACTGAGACCTTCCCTTGCATGGCCTTCGCTGCCTATTGCTGACAGTTACACTTACTGATGGGCCTTGTGTCTGCTTTGTGGATTCCTTCACATCTTTGTTCCCTGTGCCATCATCTTCTGGCTGTCTGGGCATTTGTACAAGTTCTCCTGTAGTACACCTTGGCACATTCAGTGGAGAGAGCATTTCTCTCACACCAACTTTCCCAAGTCTTGTCTTGGACAGTTTCTTTGAGGTTTGTGGGGTACTAACAAGTTGTGGTTGTGGAGATTTCAAGGACATTCTTGTTCTTTTGGTACCAGTTAATGGATCAGTGCTGGGGCCTGGTGTTTTGAAGAGTTCTTGGAAGCCATCAAGATCTTCCAAGGGTTGGACATTTTTCTTAGGTGTTCTTGGCTCTCTGGTAAGCTCAGTTACATCTGCTGCAGTCTCTAGTTTCTCCTTTGGAGTCTCTATAACTGCTTTTACCCTATTATTTTCCGGTACTGGTGCTGTTGGGGCTCTGCCTGGTGACTGCTTCCAGAGTTCTGGAAGTTCTGTCGTGTCCATTTTCCTGAGGCTGATCTTGGGCAGACTCTTTCTGCTGGTTTGGGCTCTAACTGGTCCCGATTGTGGAGGTTTGGCGAGCATTTTTGAGGTTTCACCAATGGTCAATGAGTCCTTAGCATAGCCTGGTGTTTGTAAGAACTGTTGGAAGCCACTCAGGTCTTCCTGGCATGGTGTCTTATCCTTAGAAGCATGCCGTGGCCTCTTGATGCTAGGCATACCAGCTTTTGGATCCAATTTTCGCTTGGCAGGTTGATTCAATGCCCTAATGACTCTGTTGTCGGTGGGTACTTGGAGTGTGTCTGTGGCTTCTCCTGACTGTAGGTGTCCCTTTGATTCTAAAAGTTCTTCTTCCACATCTATTTTAGCCATACTTGCCCTGGACCGTCTCTTTACACTTTTTAGGGTTATGACAGGTTCTGGCTGTGGAGAATTAAAGGACATTTCTTTGGTTTTGCCAACAACTAATGAACCATTGCCATGATCTGGTGTTTGAAAGAGCTGCTGGAAACCAGTCAAGTCTTCTAGAGATTGGGCCTTTTCCTTACATGTTCTTGGCTGTCTCTTAAGCCCTGTTAAATTTTCTGAAGACTCCAATTTCTGATTTGAAGTTTCCATAATTATTTTAATGCCTTCTTCCTGGGGCACTGGTGCTGTGGGTGTGCCTGTGGCTCTGCCTGGTGATGCTGTTTGTTTCCCAACTGTCGAAAGCTCTTCTTTCACATATGTCTGAACAAGACCCGCCTTGGACAGTCTCTTTGTGCTTGCTGGGGTTTTGACTGGTTCTGGTTGTGGAGAATCCCAAGAGATCTTTGTAGTTTCCCCAACAGTCACTGGGTCACTGGCACCAACTGGTGTTTGGAACAGTTCTTGGAAGCCAGCCAGGTCTTCCAGGGGTTGAGTCCTGATCTTAGGCGTCCGCGACCTTCGCTTATGTCCTGTTGAATTGTCTGTGAAATCCAGTTTCTGCTTTGGAGTTTCCATAAAGACTGTGGCATCATTATCTTCCTGCACTGGTGCCATGGGTGTGCGTGTTTTTCTGCCTGGTGATTTTGTCCGTTTCCCATCTGCTGAGAGCTCTTCTCTGACATCCACCTCAACAAGACCCGTCTTGGACGGTCTCTTTGTTTTGGGGGTTCTGACTGGTTCTGGTTGCGGAGATTCCCGAGCCATCTTTGTAGTTTCCCCAACAGTCACTGGGTCACTGGCACCAGCTGGTGTCTGGAACAGTTCTGGGAAGCCAGCCAGGTCTTCCAGGGGTTGAGTCCTGATCTTGGGCATCCGTGACCTTCGCTTATGTCCTGTTGAATTTCCTGTGGAATCCAGTTTCTGCCCTGGAGTTTTCATAAAGACTGTGGTGCTAGTCTCTTCTTGAACTGCTGCTGGTGTGCCTGTGGCTCTCTCTGGTGACTTTGTCCGTTTCCCAACTGTTGAAAGCTCTTCTTTCACATCTAACTGATGGAGACCCGTCTTAGACAGTCTCTTTGTGCTTGCTGGGGTTCTGACTGGTTCTGGTTGCGGAGATTCCC